GTAGACAGCAAACGATCGGATCTTATACACCATCAAAATCCTAGGTGATAACAAACGGATCAGAAATTTTATATTTTGGAACCTAAATCATGACAATATACATCCGCCAACTTGAGCCTGATCAGAGGTTGGTAGAAGAGGGGTGTTTATATATATATATACACATGTTTTATATATATATATATATATATATATATATATATATATATATATATATATATATATATATATGTAGATATATATATATATATATATATATATATATATATATATATATATATATATATATAAACACCCCTCTTCTACCAACCTCTGATCAGCCTCAAATTGGTGGATGTATATTGTCATGATTTAGGTTCCAGAATATAAAATTTCTGATCCGTTTGTTATCACGACGGTTTTAACAGAGCAGGGTCCATGTTTTCACAGTGATCGCCTTATGTGTGTAAGTAAGAAAGTAAACGTGTTTAAATACACGTTTCTGTGGCTCTTATGCTCCTTAAAAGTCAGTGTATTGGCATAATTCCATCGTAATTCCAAAATGTTCAGCATGACCAGCGTTTGGTGTGAGATTTACTGGGGAGGATGACCACATGTCAGTCAAAGGTCCTTTTTTGCTATAAAAAAATTGGCATTACAGTGACTTTGAGCATAAAGGCCCACTCTGCTGAAATGCGCTAGGAAGAAATTTGAAGTTACTGTTTTTTTTTATATATTTTATGGCTTATGCATATATTGTAAAGGCCATAGTTGTGGCTGATTTAGGCATAAGACAGTCTTCTTTTAGTCTTCCAAATAAATGTAACATTAACCAACTGGAGAGGTTTAGCTAAATTCTTGATCTAAATTTAATGATTTTAAGACAGCTTCAACATCAAAAGGTTTGAGCTCACCAACGATAATGGTCAAAATATTAGTTCAAATATGCTGAAATTTGTTCAGCAATACTAAAAAGTGTTTAAAGCCTATATCATCCATAAAGATTATTGCTTTGTAGCTTAGCCAGTAGCCATGTCTAGGAGAAAGACAACATTAATCACTGAAAGACAGGGAGCCAAAAGTGTCATCTATGGAAGGAGAACATGAAGTTGTTGGCAGCAGTAACGGAGCCCATCCCTCCACCAGGACAGTGTCACAACTAGATAGAATGCCAGATCAGATACAGCTACTATGAGAAGAAAAAACTGTAAGAAAATTTTTAAAAGATAAAATGAAGCTAAATAAAGCAAAACTGGAGAGTAGTAGGTTATTAAAGGATGATGGAAAGTGTTCATTATACAGCCACAGTACAGCAGCCTAAACCTAAAGCAGCATAACTATAGATACAGCTCAGCGTAAGCACAGCAACTCTTAACTTTAAATTGTATGAAGAAGTAAAGTTTAAAGCCTGGCCTTAAAATTAGAAAGGATGAGTGTCACACTTTCTAAAGCTGGGAGCTCGTTTGACAGGAGAGGTGCTTGAAAACCATTACTATTAAAAGAGATCTGCCCTCCATTCTATCACACGGGGAATGATACTTTCTGGACATTTTTCCAGTCCATTGCGGGTATTTTTGATTATAAATTGTGATACAATTAAGAAATATGTGCTTGTGCTTTTTTTCTAACAATTTAACTTCACAACAGTTCTTTTGTATTTAACTTTTAAAGCTGATTTCAACATCTGCAGTAGGGTAACTTACTAACTTCCAAAATTTTTAATGAGTTAATGTTTTTCTTAATTTACTACTTCAGTTAAAATCAAAGGAAAGTACTTTGCTCACAAGAAATAATGTTTTTTTCTGCTGTATACACTTTAGTATATATTCTGTTATATTTTGGGACCATGTGAAACAGTAATTTGTTTTCACTTTATTGTTATCATTCAATCTTATACTGGCCCTCTGCAAAGCAGAGAAATGTCATTTAAAGATTAATAATATCAGTTATTTTTAAATATTGTTCTTTTATTCAAAGGGATTTTCCCCCCACTATATTTCTGCCAGCATATCTCTTTACCTTTCTCTTCTGTTATTTCCCTGAAGACTACCAAATGGTGCCCATCCCTTCCACAACACAACGTTGATTTTCGTTTTGTGGTGGCATTTTTCCCCAAGGTGTGTTTTTACTGCCATTTATCTGTTTGTTTATCTGCCAACAGGATCACACAAGAGAGTTACCCAACCGAAAGTCATGAAACTCAGCTGAGAGATAATCATAAACTCTCATTCAGCTAGCGCTCTAATTGTTTTCAAATGGTATTGCTTTTCTTATTGACCCAGTGCTCACAAACTAATGAGTTTACAATATGCAATTTAAATACAAGTGCAAATGGAGGCATAAGTTAGCATTACTTTATTTCAAAAGGATGCACACCAGGATTAAAACTCTTAAACAAGTGGATCAGAATCTGCCAAAGCTTTCTGTTTAATAAATGGTATAAAAAGATAAAATGTTTTTTTGGGGGGGGGGGTTAATCTGAAATTAAATGAAACTAAACCTTTTCTGTAGTGTTTCAAATGAGATAGAGGAAAAGCAGCCATATGATACACATAGGCTATAATCCTCGCAGCAGCTGTCTAGGGTTCCATTCCTGACTCAGGCCATTTACTTTAGTTCTTTTCATCCCTCTACATTTTCTCTGTCCTACTTCCTGTTAAGCTGTTAATGAATAGTCCACTAATGCCACAAAGTCTTGAGAGAATAGGAAAGAAAATCTATTTAAAGGTTAGAAACATCACATAAGACAGGATTTTTAACAGTATGTTTAATATTCTATTTTCTTCAAATATGAATTAAAATGTATTTCCTTATATTATTAGAATAGTCCTTTTAATTATATTCTTTGTAAGTTTCTAAAAGCTTCTCACAATAGAGAATTTGGCTTATTCCTTCTGTAAGAACTAGTATTTAAGTCTGGTTTATGGGTTGACTTGCTTTTAGCTTTCCCCTTAAAATGATCTAATTTCTTAGGGATTTTTCTTTATCATGGATTACAGGGAAGTAATGTGTTTAAATGGTTTCCTTAAAAACCAAAATTTTACAAAGCCATTAAAAAAATCATCTCTCATGTTGTTAAATGCATACCAATATTATTCTATGTAAACTTTTTAATTTCAGAGAGTGTGAAAAAATATTTAAAAAAGAATAATACTCTTATTATTGTGGAATGTAGATGATTGAAATGTGAATGAGTAAGTCCTTTTAGCTGCTCCCAAATTCAGTGGCGGTTCTACACCATATTTACAAGGTGGGCCAGGGTGGGTCCAGCAAGGTTTACCGGGGGCACAAAAAACCCCATAAAACAAAAAACAGGGCAATAAGTTATGATTTCAAATATATTAAGAGAGCTGCAGAACCCAAAAGCTACTAGTGGCTCTTCACTGAATGAAGCAAAATTTCAATGTTAACCACTGTAATTAAAATTTTATTTTGTTCCAGTAGAAAATGATGTCAGTTTTACTTAGAAATAATTGCTAAATAAATATGTACCAGAAGATAAAGTGACTCTTTGAAATATTAAAGCCAAAAAATTAAGGATTCTTTTTTTTTTTTTTTTACTAAAACTGGTTTTACTTTAGTTAAACACTTGTGATTTTATCTTAATACCAGTGAAGCTACCAGTTGAAATCATAACTCAAAACAGAATTTTATAGGAAATACAACGAAAAGGGTCCAAGGGACCTATCAATCACTTTGTCTGTCCATATCATTGCTAGTATTTCTTGTTTTGTTTTTTTGTATTATTAGTAGTGGGGGCGTAGGTACCAGGACCAGTTCTATAGGGGCCCTGGCCCCTGTTAGACCCTGTCTTGAACCACTCATGCCCAAATTCCAAGGTCAGTACAGCCAGTCAATACAACTTAGATTTAAGTTTTTACACATAATAGCTTTGGGGGGAACCGAACCTAGGTTCCTAGATGCACACTTACCCTGTTGCACCACAAAGGGACTAATTTCAAATGACCTAAAAAATAGGTCTTATTTTATATGATAGTGGAATAAAAAAACATGTTTTTCTTTTTTATATTTGAAATGCAAATCTTTGGTCTCATGTATTTATCAGAATGCATTTCAATTATTCCGCATCAACCACTCATTAAATGCACAGATTTTCTATCAGGCTGCTCTCAGCGGGGTACTATGAACTCTAAGTTCATCCTCTGCCTGTCTATGAGTGAATGACATAATCGGAAACGTGTCCATCCATAATGAGACTTCCCCAAAGAGATGTGTTGTAGCTCTACTATTCCAACCACTTTATGAAAAAGGAAACTGCACTGCAGTTGAGCTTGGGCAATTTGACAACAGCTTGTACCAGGAGCATGCAGATGTCTCTGTTAAATGAAAGCTGTGTTTACAGACTCCTCTAAGGACAGATATATCTGATAGAAATCCACAGATTCACTTTACTCTCATTTTAATTAATTGTGGATTTTAAGCTCCCTGTCAGACTCCCATCTTCGACATATGGACATTTGGTTTTCAGGAGCAAACTTCTTCAAGGAGAGTCAAAAGTATTTTGGACAACCTGAAGCTATCAAGCTGGCTGCAATAAAAGAAAAGGAAGAGATGATGAGAATGGAATGAATCCAATTCCCAGTGGATTACAGGCGACAATGAGCTTTGCCATGAGGGTTTTAAATGGGAAATACTAGTTGAATGTTGGTCCTATTACAGAGGAAGAAAAAAGTCCCATCCTCTGAAAGAGGGGAGCAACAATTAGAGGAAGCGATTGTTGTTATTCTAATCATTAATTAAACACTGAGACAAAACTCATCTGGGATGTGAAAATTGAGGCGTTTGTAACATATAGGAATAACCATAAGGGCACAGTTGTCTGACATGTTTAATTAATAATTTGACATTAATTTGACAAAACATGATTATAAAATAAAAACTTTTATTCTTCAGAGGATCAATATCATTTTCATCAGTAGCGGAAGTTTTAGTATAAATAAACACACATATGATAAAACTAGTAACATTTTAGAAGTAGGATTGAAAAATAAAAAGAATACCTGAATAAATCTCCAGTGTTGCTTGCTGCTGGTTTGCCCCCTCAGTAAATCCATGATATGGAGAGTCTTTCATCCCCTGACAGCCGCAGCAATCTGAGTCCAAAGCGATAGTTTGGACTTCTTGTCTCCCCAAAGCAGTCCTCTCTACTCGTCTCTCGCTTCAAGCAGAAATATTGGCGTGCATTATTTCCATCTTCAACAGAATGTGCCTTTAGAGTTGAGACACTCGCTGTTACAATGCGCTCTTCATGTCTGTTGCTCCATGTTCTCCTTTACGCAGACAGTCCAGCTCGCATCGCCCGGAGGAAGGCGGGGACCCAAAAAATAACAACAAATCCGCTGTTACACCTGCGGTGGCTTTAGAAAAAGTCCTCTCGGTTTGATTTTCTTCTTTTTCACATTTTAATGTAAGAGGATTTTTATTGCAATTTAGAAGAAAGCTTCGCAGTGTGACTTGCATCGGTTTCCGATCCGAGAGTGCCGCTCTGGCAGCAGGACGCAGCGGATCTGCGCGCGCGTGCGGCAGCAGGCGGCACAGCAGCACGCGGGACAACAGAGGATCCACACCAGGGATCATACCACTTTTATAAGGGGCCACACCCAGAAACACCAGATAAGTGCTTTCTTAATTAGAATACCCCATTAAAAAGTAATGGAACATATTTTGTATAAGTTGAGCTTTTTTTTTTAGTTGTTGCTGCTGTTTTTGTTTTTTCTTGAACCCAAAAGAGACACTGACAAAAATGTTAGATTAAAAATAAGGAGTGTAACCTCATAAGTTATTTAATTTAAGTGAAATAAATTGTATAGAATTATTTAATTCATTTTAACTCTTAAAACATGGTGGCAGTAGTATCATCCATTATCAGAGCTAATGAAGCTCCATGTTGAAAAGCAAATTTGGCAAACAGGTTATTTATAATTTCTACTTTAGTAATAAGTTACTTGCCACTGAATTACATAAAGTACATAAAGTAAAACTTAGGATTGCAAACTATAAGTTATTCAATCTATTTAAGTTAAATAAATTGTACAGGATTAGTTAAGTCATTTTAACTCTTTAAACATGGCGGTGGTAGTATCATCCATTATCAGAGCTAAAGCAGAGTAGTGTTGAAAGGCAAATTTGGCAAACAGGTTAATAATAAATTTTACTTTAGTAATAAGTTAGTTGCAAATGAATTGCTTAAAGTAATTTGCACTGCTCAGTGCTACTTGGTTGCTCTCACGTATTACTTCAGTTTTACTTAAAATTATATAGCATTGCAGCATACTTCTAAAACCCCCAAATTCCATCTTTATCTCTAGAGATATTTATTAAGAGCCAGATAACCCTCTCATATTTAGCAACATTTAGGGAGGGATTTTTTCCTGACAGGAATCATCTTTAATAAAGCTAGTTGATCTTAAAGACCAAACACTTTAACAACTACTGTCTGAAGCTAAACTAACAAAAATTTAACTTAAAGGTATTGTGGAGGATTTTTTTTAACGGATTTTTGGAGGATTTAAAAAAAAAAAGTGCAAGAACATGCATGAACCCATTTCTCCTCGTGCACGCTCTGTTTAAAATGTGCTGTTCTCATTGCTCATACAAGCTTAGTGTGTCCACATACAGTGGGGACTATATAGTGGACTTCATAGAAAACTCAGTTAACTGACCATTCGGACAGATGATCACTGCTTTTTGCTTCCTGTTGGTAACGTAACTCCTCCTCCACCACGCAGTGCCTGCGCCATCTTTGTTATTAGTCGCCGCTGTCGGGTAGCAACAGCCTATGTGAGACAGTGGGCCGCTGTGACAGCAAATCCCATAATGCTTTTCTAGGAGAGCTTTCCACACAAAGCATTCTGGAATTTATATCTGCCTCTTCTGAAGCCTTTCTTTTCTTCTCATACACTTCGTAAACACTTTTTCTCTTACGACCCTAGGGCATTTTCAAAGAACCCCGGTCAGAAAGGTGAGCTTCAATGACTGTCTGAAACCGTAGCTCACCACACATGTGCCCCTGAAAGTGCGCAGAAAAAGATAGCCAGCAGAGCTAGCAAGTAGGGCGGCCTTACATAAACATATCACCAGAATAATTGACATTTAGGAGGACTACTTATTTAGATGATCTACCCGGAAATTGAAGATTGTCTTCTATACCTTTAAAGGGAATTAACCTTTGAACTGTATAAACGAACAAACTTTTATCCGGTGTTGTAATATGTCAAACCAAACTTTAAATCTAATTATAACAACCTGAAAAAGTCAAATTTATTTATAATAAAAGAATCATGACCAGCAGTAAGCATGATGGGAGATTGGATACTTTAAGCCCACTCCCTGGCCCAGGAATATATATTATAGATTGAAGATATATAAAAATACATGTTTAGAATAAACATATGTTTTCATTTTGCTAGTGTTCAGGACTAAACATTTGAATAAACTCAGAACTTAAGCATAGTCTCAATAGATTTTAAACTTGCTCCAAATATACCCATAAATGTTTCAATGCAGATGGGAAAATGTGGCAAATTAAATCCTGTAAAATTTAATAGGACGATTTTGGTGCTGTTTTGTTAACAGGTGAATGAGAAAAGATTTAGTACATTCATAATTAAGATGCTTTTTTAACACTGTCATTCTGGGCCACAAGTGTTAGTGTTATACATGAGATATTAAATCATTAAATGTGTGCCTTGGGAAGTTGGTTATTTCTTTGTGTTGTTAGAAATAGCATTAATAGCTTTGTCAGCACTTTGCACTGAATGCATACTAAAGATTCATTACAGAAAACCAAGCTTTCTTGGATAACGTCTTTGTCAGTTGATCATGCAAATGTTTCTCATCATCACTAGCTGTAAAACAACCCCAGACAGACTGCAAGCTCATTAAATTTAAACAGTCAGAACTTTTTATATGCCTCCGGCTCATAATCCACTCATAATGTGAAGTAGGATTCAAGGGAATCTGTTTGTGTTTGAGCCAGTGGTAGAGGGATAATTACAGAAGGAATTAATGAATGCCCTGCTAAGCTTTAGAAATTTGAAAAGGAAAAAGTAATATTTGGATTAGCTCACTGAATGAACATTTAGTACTTCTAAATCTTCTCACGCAGACCCAGCTAATAATGGCACATCAAAGATCTGCAGAACATTTAGAAGTGTGTAGTCACCTTAATCATTAATATCTCGCCTACATATTTAATTAATTTATGTTTGAGTTAGCTTGGGAGTTCTTTACAAGGTTTTTTTGTAAATATTATTTTGAAAAGAAAATTTTACTAAATGCTACACCCTGATCTTGATTATTTTTTCTGCCTTCCACAGGGAGATAGAGTCTTACCAGGCAAGCTCTATGTTATCTGATATAATTTGGAGTGTTTTATGCGAAAAAACTAATTATAATGTTTTATTGACGTTATTTTAGATGCAATGCTGTTCACTATAAGATACAAAAAAAGGAATGGTGAGTGCAGATTGCCATTTTATGACTTTTTTTAATCGTTCTGCATTTCTTCGAATGTAGTTATGCAGTTTGGTGTACAAAACCAACACTGCACCAATCAACAACTACAGACAAGTGTGATTTGATTTTAACAATCCAAAAGCATTGAAAGTCTTCCTTTATTATAAGTCAAGTTTTAAGTCTCTAATGATTTTATAATTAAATACTTTCAACCAGGCCTTCTATACTATCGCACTGCATTGCTGTAGATAGGGCCATCAAATCTGGTATGTACTGTGCTTAGGCCTAATAAAAGAAAGGTACATTTAACAATTATCTTAAAATCTCTTAACATCTATCAACAATTAAAAAGAAACAGTTATGAATGGCTTTATCTTATCAATTACTTTAAAAAATGATCAAGCTTAATTTTTATCTTATGAGTGGTCATTCAAAACGGTCAAATAAATACCCTGTGCAGTAACCGTGTATAATAATCCTGCTTTAAAAAAAAAAAATAAATACTTCAGCTGTCATATATTTATTTGGACACACGATATATGTACTGTATATACTCCCATGCATCTTTTCTTCCTTTAGCACCTTCTGTAATGAACTCAGAATGTTAGACCCAGCAGTCAAGGCGAGACAGGCAGTGGGAAAGTTCAAAGCATTTATTTAAACAAACAGGAATGCAGAGCTGCTCATCAGCTGTGGCCAAATCTCTGCACGGATAGGAAAAACAGGTCGGTGACTGGATTGTCGGGCTGATCACGACGAGGAGCAAAGTCACTGACCTGATTCAAAGTTTAGTCTGATCCCGGAGGAAAGAGTACAATCCAAACGGGAGGTTAACCCCCAACTTGCGGCGGGCACTGCCCCCAGAGTTCCTAGAGAGAGAAGGCAGAGCAGGTGCCAGCCGACGCCAAGCAGACCTGCAGAGGATAGGTCCAAGTTCAGAAGCTAGTAGAATCCAGGAATCAGTCAAAAACAGATCAGACTAACAGAGCAGACAGGGGCAAAGCAAAACTCGGGATCCACAGGGCAGAAACTGGTCACAATCAGGAAAACTGAACAACATTCAGAACTCTAGAGTTAATCTCACCAAACTGCTCGAATAACCCGGCACTGATGGAAGGCAAGCAAACAACATAAATAGCAGAGGAACCAGGTGGAAATGATTGGTGCTAATCAGCTGCTGGACTAATTAGACAGGTGAGCAGGAGCAAAGGAAAAGACCGAACCATCAGCGCCAGGAACATGACACCTTCTTCTTCTTTTTTACTATTTGAGCTGATGTAACGATTTCTCCATTGTGAAATCAATAAAGTCAATCAATCAATCAAAGAAAATTATAGCTAACATCAACACATTGTTATAAATCATCTCTGGGTAATAATCAAATGCATATTTTTAGAGGAAATTATATGAAAATCACTTGTTACATCTGTTTTATTTCCATAATAGGTTCCTTTCACTCTTCCTAATATTTGAAAAGTAATTATTACTTAAAATTAAATCCAGGAATGGGATTCTGAGTGAAGTCTGATGTTTTTGTTTTAGGTTCAGAACAGTGAATTAAGTCAAAAAAAAAACAGTTTTTCTAGTCATGCTATTTATAACGCAACAGTCTGACACCTTAGAAATTAGAAATGAAGCAGAAATATGATGATATTAAGCTGTTTGCTTTATTGAACAAACATTTTTTGCACATTGTTTAATTTGTGCTTTAGAATGAGGGAAAAGCAGATTTTGCGAGCAACGTATCTGCGTCTTATGACATTATTTCTGGAAAGACAAGAGCCTCAATGTGAACTGACAGACTGAGGTCAGCACCGGTTGCCCTTATTCGCTCTGTAATGTCAATCAGACTATCCCCCAGCAGTCACTATTTCTGAGCAATGAACAGAATAATATGATAAATCTGTTGTCACTACTCTTGAAACTGCTTTGTTTGTCTTAAAATGGATTTTTCTTCACCTGCTGTCAGGGAAATCACTCTACTTTATCAGCGCATGTTTTGATGGTGCAGAATAGCCCAGCCTTTCATATATTTGTTCCAGATATAATGATTTAGCCTTTACTTGATTTATGTT